CATGCAATACACCTCTTCTGCTATTAAATAGCTGATGTTGCTCTTGCGGAAGAGCAGTTACAATCATTATTCAGGCACTTGAATTTGTGGGAGAGAGTGTATCAGAATGCCTTCAGGAAGCATTCAGTTCAATTTGGTCTTTAGTTTGAAATACTTCTTCCAGCAGCTCTTTCCATCTCCTTCCCATGGTTAACCCTAATAGCCATCCCCTCCTCACCTCAACCCTGTGGCATATATTCTCTCTCCTGTGTAAATAATTAACAACATATCAAAGCCTAGGAAGAAGTAATACAGAAGGATCGTATTTTAATCCACCAAGTGGACTATTTTGAAACCCCCACATCTTCCTCTCTCCCCCTGGCATACCATGGTTTTTTCCTTGAAGCTTTCCGTCTTTTACTTACCTTAGAAAATCTTTGTACAAATATATGTACAGAAATTTAGTGTATTTTTCTGAACTTCAGCTTGTGCAGACTGAAAATACGTAGATGAATATGTAAAGATGACTGCTAATAGAGATTTATATGCTCCTCTAAACATAGTAAATATAATTAATGCCTTCATATAGATGCTTGGACAATCACGTGTGTATATATATCTGTGTGTGTGTGTTTCATATTGTAAATTCTTCATTCTCTGTAATTAATAGTAGCCTGCACAAATAGTCTCACTGGATTCAGCAGGTTTATCAATGCAAGTAATTACTCTACCGATGGGAATAAGGGGGCTCACATTGTATCCCAGAATGAAGTACTGATAAGATACAGAAAGAAGAAAATTACATTATTGGGCAATTTCTTGTTACTAGCACTCCTTACCCTTCATATATTTAATGATAGTTAAAAATTGCTTTTCTATTAATGAAAGTGCAGTTAGTAGTTTTCATTACTGAACTTTACAGGCTTCAGTCTTCAGTTTTTCAGTCACAGAGTGCGATGGAATCATAATTTATGGGGGTCCAGAGCTCAATCAAACCATTGCATTCACTTCATCAGCACCTGAATCCTGATGTGAATGTTGAAAATAAACATTATGCTACTTACATTATTTGGGATAAACGGAATTATGTACATTACCCTTCAGTGCAATATACCTTAAACTCAAAATTGGAATGAACATGAGGAAGGCAGAAAGCTGTTGATTTGAGCAAACTATTAAGGTACATAAAATGTGATTTCAGAGCAATAAATATTGAAAAGCTTTGCAGTCATAAACAATAATAAATACTGTGAATGGGTTCTAAACAAAATATTTATCTGCTTAATACTGTAGAGGTAAGCAGATGTCCTTGAGTTGCTGCCAGACTGTGCTGAAATGAATGCACTATTTCATAAAGATGAATTTTGCAAACAAGTAGGGCTTCAGAGACCCAGGCCATTAAAAAACATTACTGTATCTTGACCACTGGCGTTTTGTTACAATGGGAACCATGCTTTCATGGGTAAGAATTTCAAAGAGCCGTGTGGACATTTTTCCTAAGCATTGTGTGGATGCATGGAAGCATAAAGAATTATGCAGTAAATTCTGTGGCTGAGAGATATAACTGGCATGTTACAAAGTTGCCTGCTTACAAGTACTCTGCTGATGGCATTGCTATTCTTGACATTATAATTCCACTGCTTTCAATTCTCTGGAGATTATAAACCCCAAACAACACAGTGCCACAAGCTAAGGTAGATGGCCGGGGTTTCGTGACAATGCTCTGAAAGAGAGGCAGAGACATTATGAGGTTTGTCAGAGAGCATAAAAGCCTTTATGAAGCAAGTGAATTAAACTTCTTCTGTTGTTCCTTACCATATCCAAAACTGATAGTAAAGAGGGTTGTTTCCAACAGCTGCTCAGTTTCTAGCTTTTAATAGTTAATGGGAGGTCGGGCTATAAGCTGAGATCAATCCCAGAGTAATAAATTTTACATTATTATATTTGTCTTTCTTGAAATATAAACACCAGAGGATCTATTCTCAAATGGCTTCCGACCCATTTTTTCCATAATTAATACAGGAAATTCGAAGAACGTGACTCCCCGTGCAGCTCAGACAGAGGCAGATTGGTATTCATCAGCATGGATTAATTAGTCTTTCACCAGACACACAGTTACTTCGAAGAGCTACAAAATGGGCAGTTATAAAGGAGGGAAAGCTGTCTCATAAAAACCCATAAGCCACATGTTCTCGTGGATAAGAGATACTTTTTTAACTTTGATGTTTATTCTGTGTAGTTTAAGATTTACAGCTAGATTTATCCAGCTCCACTGACATTGACCTTGCCTTCAATGCAGCAGCAGTATGGAATGAATTGCTCTTCCCTGGTTGATTTGAAGGGCAGTACTTAACAAAAAAGTGCAGCAAAGATTCACTCTGAATAAGAACAGCAGAGCCTCTCATTGTTCAGATCCGAAGACTTACTTCTGGGTCATTGTATTCAGTATGACTCCACCATGCTTGGCAGGCTTTTTCTTTGTCTTTTAATTGGGTAAACACATCTGTTACAACCAAGAAAAGGAGAATTATGCACTGCCACTTAAATCTTAGGGACTATTCTAACAGCTCCATCTGTGACACTGAGGTGTAAGGAGTGTTTTTTCTTAGTCTTCTCATTTTTGTTACTTATAAGAACCTCATTCATGACCTGACACAATGTTTTATGAAGTCAACAGAAAGGCTGTCACTGTTTTTAATGAGCTTTGGGATCAAGCCCTCAGTTTTTTATCAGCACAGAACAAATCCTTTCACTCCAGACACCACAGTGACATAAACTCTGTGAAGGTCCCAACTCGTCAGTTGGAGATTTGAAGTCAACAGCAGCAGCAAAGAGAAGTACCTGGGGACCATCAGCAGTGATATTACCTGTCTAACGTGTCTTTGTTCCAGGATACATTGTAACTGGAGATTAATGACATACAGCAGATTATTGTGCATTTCAGACCACTGCCTAGGAGGAATGCAAGGGTGGGAGAGTAGGAGGAGGAGAGCTTTGTCACACACATTGCTAAACCAGACACAGCCCCAACCTTCATTACTCTTGCAAAACTCTTTTTATAATAAAGATAAAACCTGATTTCACTTTAAGTGAAACCTTAAATAACAGACCTGCTATTGTCTTAGTCTTTGCTGAAGAAGTTGACAAACTCTTCTGAAACACATTGGTTGGTATTTTGGCATCAGGAGAAAAGCCACCAGATCCATCTGAAGTGCAGTGAAACTATCCCACAAATGTATTAATATAAAATAAGATTTACCATGACTTTAGTGGTATGCATGGTTCATAAATTATTAGAGTGATGGCACTGCCAAAAAAACCAAATTAATAGGCATATAATTCCATAAAGGACAAGTGAGGTTAGAAATAAATATATGAGATCTTTTTAAAAAGACCAAGTGTCCTTTTTTGCATTACGACTGACACAAAGCAGTTTTGCTCAGCAGTAGAGTAAGATTTTGAGACATCTGGGAGCTGAACAAGTGGTGAAAGTGTACAGTCCTTGACTCCTTCTTGGCTTTGGCCTTAAAGGCCCACATGTTCAAGGGATTTTAGATTCCTTGGTCAACCTTGAAAGAAATTAAGAGTGTTAAAATTATGTTGTTAAGTGCTGTCTCCTTACATCAACATGGAAAGTATGGAGTGAGAGCATTGGGCGGAATAAACTGAAAAACCATTCCATGATTCTATGAAAAGTAAGAGTTGGAAGGAACATTGAAGATTATCATTAAAGATTACCCCATGCCATGGACAGGAATGTCACCCACTAGGTCAGGCTGCTCAAGGCCCCACCTCACCTGGCCTTCCAGGGATGGGGTCCCCACAACATCTCTTGACAACCTGGTCCAGTTCCTCACTACCCTCTGAGTAAAGAATTTTTTCTTGGTATCTAATCTAAGTCTTTTAAACTTTTAGTTTAAAAGTATTCCCTCTTGTCCTATCATTAGCTATTTAATAAAACAGATAAAATGTAATATAAGTAAATAAAATGCAATAAAATTGAGAGTAGCCGCACTTTGAGGCAGTTTAAGACAGGTAGTAAAACTAGACTTCTGTATTTACAATGAATTAACCTATCTTCCTAAGTTTTGACCTATCCTCATGGAAAAGGAGTAGATAGCTTGTAATGACTTTTCCAATGGAAGATCAAGTGCCTGCGTAATTTGCCTGTTCTGTGCTGTTGTTAAGGTACAAGTTTTAAATGGAGAATGTCCGGATATGCTGCTATTTTAGTTCTGAGGAAATATGCTGGTGATGGAGTTAAGCACCTGAGTGCTAAGTGGTTTTGGATTATAACATTTGTTTTGAACAGATTATAGATTTTGTAAGTGCACCCTGGATGTAATGTATAAAGATTGCCACTTTTGAAAGATGTACATTGAGCATTATGCAAATAAGCCATTGCTTACTCAGATGGTAGAATAATCTCTTTGTCTTGACATGACAAGTAAAGTATGTTTCCACTTGTTATCCCCATCTGTCACAAGATGATAAACCTCAGATCTGTAAAAGTCTTATCTGAATGTATTTGTTAACATCTTGCTTTGCTGGCCACCATCATGTATCATTTTCATTGTGTAACTAAGGAGCTGCATTTTTTTGTCAGCCACGAGGCAACTGGAATTACTTGCTTTCTCCATGTAGGTCAAGTTGGGGAAAGCATTTGGTTTAACTCATCCCTGTTCTACACATCACAGAAATATGTTTATGAAGCATAAGCTTAAGAACTCTTCCAAACAGATCTGATTTCTGAATCAGAGCTGTGATATTTCAAGTTGTTTCATTTGCAATTAAGTTATATTCAGTGCTGATTGCACAATGTAAAACCCACTAATATTTCACTTGCTGCATAATTTTTAGAGATAAAGACCTCTTCACATTGAAATACAGCCTATGAATCCATTTACTGCGTGAGAACCTGATTTACGTAGGGCATATGATTTACACGTGGGTGTGTACCAGTGCAAGTGGGCTGATTATATTTATTTCCTTTTTTTGCCTTTTTTTTTTTTCTCTAACAGCGGGGACAACGTATATCTTTAGCAAAGGTGGTGGACAAATCACTTACACGTGGCCTCCCAACGACCGGCCGAGCACTCGAGCAGACAGACTGGCAATAGGGTTTAGCACTGTGCAAAAAGAGGCTGTGCTGGTGCGAGTGGACAGTTCTACTGGCCTTGGAGATTATTTAGAGCTGCATATTGTAAGTAATAATCTCACCAAAGGAGTGAGATTTCTTCTTGTCTTGCTTGCTCTTGCGTTTGTGGGGGTTTGAATTTATTTTGTTGGAGTATGGTTATAGCAGTAATGAATATTTTGGGGTCAATAGTGGAGTAAATGACACTGGTTTGTTGCATGTGATGTTGTGCAGGGTCTCAGACATTCTCAAAATGCTTTTTTTTTTGCTACAGTGCTACTTTTCATGGCTTTTTAATTAAAAATCATACTGAGATACTACCTGTACTGATAGAACAGTTTATTGCAGTGTAATTACGTGGAACAGAATTTAGCAGTGTCAGAGGAAGGTATGTTTATCCTGGGGGATTTAATCTGGAATCTAATAGTGGAATTGCAGTGTATCACAGCTGATTGTGCTTTTTGTTATTATTAGCATTTGTCCCCTGATTTCACAATTCTGTTGTGATGGTAAATCTTAAGCAGGAAGACTGTCAGTCTAGGAAGTCTTAGAAAGTAATTTCAGCTGTCTTAAAGCAAGGAACTAGCAATCAAAATTGAAAGCATATGGAGTTTTATGGCATCATAAATAAATGATCAATTGAGAAAAACATAACTGGAGCAGTATAAAATTTTGTTGTTTAGATTAGTCTGAACTTTGTTAATGTGTTCATTTGATTTTTATTTGAGAATGTCTCTACTTTCAGGAAGAGTTGAGTTCCTTTTGAATGAAATTACTTATTGATCTATAACCAATTACACTTTTACCCTCAGAAAACATTCAGCAGTGATCATTTTCAAAATTATATGGGATTATGGTATTCAATCTTCCCAGACTCCTTTTTCTGCAAAGGCACTCTTAACATTGTGGACAAAGGTGATTTTTTATTTATTTACTGGCTTGAGTAAACAAAGAAAGAAAGAACACCTTAAATACAATTCAGAGGTTGTCTATGCCCTTATCTTGCATTGAATCACATGGATGAAGTAGTTGGCTGGTATTGTGCAATCTTAGTTTGAAAATGTGAACAAAGCAACTTCTACCAGGTGCCAGAAAAACTGGGAGCCTACATATTTCAAGGCAAGTATTGTGTTGCTAGATAGAATTTAAATATTTGCTCTGCAAACACCAGGTGCCTTGTTATAATTTACCTCTTTATTTGCAATCTCAGAGCAAACCCACCTTCTGTGGTCAACAGAGCTACCTTCTTACAGTTTTTTTCTTGTTCATTAGCATACAAAGGAATGTTTTCCTTGTAATTTTACTATACCTGAAGTTTATCAAAACTACAGTATTTGTTTACTCTTCCATCTAGCCATGATATTTCTATTTTAAAGCAAACATTATGATCATTAATGATAAGTTGGAGATGATAAATTATTGCCTGCTCATAAATGCTTGTAGTTTTAATTCTTTTTTTTCTCAAATAACTTACTTACCCATGCTGTAGTGAAAGATGGTAAAAAAAAAAGAGAATAATTGAGAGTTTTCTATGGTCAGAAACAATACCAGCTTAATAGGGATGGGGAAAATGGTTAAATTGTACTTTAGTGATTCTTTTGAAATTTCTGTGAAGCAGCAAAGCCTTTTATCATCCTGCTCTGTGAGGTGATATTGGCCACCCCCTGCTGCCTTTGCAAGGGACTTTGGGAACCTCCCTGAAGCCTGTTCTGCTTCAGAGCAAAATGGTAACTGTGTGAAATTTCACTGGAATGAGGTTTGACCTCTGAGAGCAGCTTCAGAGTAGTCTGTCCCTAGAGTGGAGACACTGAGGGATTGACCTGAAATCCTAAGACATTTGGCAAGGACTTTTATAACAGTTGTCAGTGATAGATAAAGCTTGGAAAACTATTGGGATATCATTTCCCAGAATCTAATTCAAATAAGGATAGTATTCAAAGGGAAGTTGAAAGGCAGTATTTTCAAAAGCACTTTTGACACCAAAGACCATATATCTCATTAAAGTCAGTTGAGCTGCAGATACTTCTGAGAATTTTACCTGAGATCCATTTTAGCTCAGAAAGATATTGTGAGATATCACAGCTCTAAAAATAAAGAGAGCGTAGAAACCAGGGAGGTCTACGTAGGTGTTACACTTGAAAAATAGTTTATTGGATCTAAATGTTTCCATATTGGCAGCTACTGTGTTAAACCAGCTGATAAAACTAGAAGGATGGAAGTGTTTAATTCTGCATGTTCTTTTGCATGTACCACTCACTGTGAATATGCATGAGCAAAAAGTGCCTGTGTACCTGGAGATGCACTGTGCATGGATAACTCACCTGTGTGTAGTGGCAAAAAAAGTTCCCCTGGAACTATTGTTTGAAAAAAAAAAGAGATTATAACCCTCGTTATAATCTGATTATAATAATTATTATTATAATCTCATAATGTTGGGGAGGGTGCTTGGGAGCTTTGAGGTAGCTTGCTCTTAACTTTTGTAATTTCCTCTTCCATTTCTAGAATGAACAGTCAGGTTATGGTACTTCAGTGTGTGCTTGCCCTCTTTATTATTCTGTTTACTTAAAGACAATGTAAACCTAATAATGAAATCAAGCTCGTATCAAATTCTGATTTTGAAAATTGCTGTTTGATCATCTGAATCACACTTTGGTGTTAAATTAGGAACATATTTATTTAATCATTTAACCTCTCCAAATAACTATTATTATGAGAAACATTTTTAAATTGTGTAGTCTGCATTGTTACCAGACGCTTAACAGTTCCAGTGCAAATATTTTACATTCCAAGATACATTATTATAAAACTCCACCTAGGCTGGGTGTAGCAGTATAATTGTACTGTAGCAATATAATTGTAAAAGACTCTTTGTGTGTATGACACCTATGAAACACAGTATTTCAGGAAAGGGATTTTAAAATGTTTTAGTAATCCAGAGCTGCAGCAATTAGCTTTCATGTCAATCATTTGACTTCTCGTATGGAAGTGGGCTCCTGTGCTGTCTGCTGGGAGATCTAGTTCAAGAGGAAATAGATATCCTACCTGAAAATCTACTGCCATTTCCTCTCCTGTTGATGGATAAATGAAGGACAAGTACCTCTGATAATTACTGCAAGCTTCCTTTTTTCTTCTTGTCATGACATGGTCTGCATCCATCTTCATGTCACATGGAAAAAGGCAACAGCTTTCATGTAGTGTTCAATTAATCACCATGTGCACTCCTGCCCTTAACTTTTTGTCTGACTTTTAGTGCCCTTAGGTAATTCTGTCAGTGATTCCTGTTCCTACCTCCACTTTTTTTTCTCTTCTCATCCTGTTATCCCACATCATTAGAAAGCAAAATGTACAAACATATGAATGTCATTGTCTTCCACAGGCACTGTGCTGTTGCTACTTTGAATTTTTAGCTTTCCTATGGTGAGGAATGAAGTGAAGTTAGACAAAGATATCATGTCAAAGAGCTAAGAAGTCCTGTTAAATTGCTCTTTCTCTCAACACTGGAAGCATAGAAAACTAATTCTGCTGTGTTGCACAAGGGGTATTTGCTGTGCTTGAGAAGGATATATTTCCATCAACAGACTTCAGCCATTTAAAAAAATATATAAATTATTTTCATCTTTCACTGTTAAAATGAAAGACTTTATAAAAAAGGTAACTTTTATGTCTGATGGAAAGAATCAGAAGTGTCATCTTTGTGTAGTTTGTTTGAAAATGAAAGTATTTGCAGAGCACAAAGCAGCTGTTTTTATGGTGATAGCTGATTTTGAAGTTAAGAACAAGAAGTTTGTATGGGGCATAAAGCCAGCAGAGTGTTTAAAAGTATAAAGCTTTGGCATTCCAGAGAAGACACCCAGCCTAGGGCACATGAACTACTTAAGATGAACTGGTCACTTCTCCTAACTCAAGCAGGGTGAGACTGTACTAATTAATCTCATTTACAGCTATGGACCTGCTGAATTATGTGAAGTGGTGATGAACATTCTGATAGGAAACATTCAGAGGTCTAAAATAAGGAATAAGGCAGATGTGGCAACGTTTTGAATGTTGTCCTAACCCTCTCTGGGAGGAAAGTGGAGCAAAATGCCCTGTGATTCCAGTGAGAGACAGTGACAGTCTGTCTATACTTAGGATATAGAAAACATATTGAAAAATATTGAAATAAAAAGAAATAAAACTCAGGGTAGATGGTAGCAGATATTTTTTGTTTCATTCTATATCAGGTCACTAGGAAAAAATATTTTAGGGGAAACACTAACCAAGAAGAATAGTGTGATGATAAAGCCTGGAAAACTGCTTCAAGATTTGCTAACACATTACCTGAAAAAGTAGGGTATGGTTAAAAGAGATGGCATCAATATATGCAAGGCACAACACAATTAACCTGAAATACTGGGAAGATGTAGCATTACTGGCATGATGGATTAATCAATATTGTCCTTAGACTTCCAAGACGTGTTTGTGAGTCCTTCAGAGTTACAATTAATGACTGAAGTGAACAGTCATGGGAGCGGAAAGATTGTATGTCTTACAGAAAATAGAGTTTGGGATTGTGAGTAAACTCAGTTCATGCTCTTGGTCCCAAATATTAACATACTACATATATTAAAATATATATTGTAGAAATGGCATTTTTTAATTTTATTTTTTAAACTTTCAGCAAACTTAAAATGAGTATTAGTTCCTACTCACCTCCCTCTGTTTCTTAGTTATACATATGCAGTACTCTGCTATACCAGGCTTTTAATAGCTGACTCTGTTAGACTTTGTTGGACATATCCATAAAATATGGATAGTTTTAACTTATGCAAGTATAATGACCTTCCCTCGAGTAAGCAGAAGGAGAAAAACTCAAGTGAGGATCAGAGTTCTGTGTTTGAGTGTATTAGGGGAAGAGCTGCAATATTTTATGATAAATGCATTTGATGCATTTGTTATTCTCTTTTGAATACTTCACATGTCTTTGGCTTAATGTCTAATGGAAAGTCAATTGATTATTATTGACTTGGTTGTATTTGGATCAATTCCTAGAGAGCTGGATGTACTTTCAGTGAGATTGATGATAAACA